TCACCTTCTCGATCGTATACTTAAGACAAGAATATTGATACTACATTGTTTTTTGATTGAAAGCGACTCACATCTTCTGTTCACTTTTTTGTCATGATTTTACATGTTGCGTTATGTTGAAAGCAATTTTCATCGCATTTCTCTTTTATTCTGGGTTATCCATAATCTACTGAATCAGAGTTAATTCTTACATCAGACGTCGTCCCACAATTGGAGAAACAACAGACACTCAACAGGCGATCTTCTCTTCTGTTTATCAATGACTTGTATCTGCGTTGCTTCATTTGTGATAGACACTAACCGAGTGTTGCTGTCTTTTTATCCGATTATTGATACCGCATGTTTTTTTTTTGTTGTAAACGATATATCTGTAATACTGACTAACTAAATCCAATTGTATTATAAACTATTACGAAAGAAACAAAAATGAATAATTAATAATATATATACATATATATTGAAAACTATGTCTCTCCTTCTCTTTGAGGAAATACGTTTCAACTATTGTGATATGAGTTTCTATAAGTGATCGCGTAGAAATGTTTGAGGTATCATTGTAACAGAAAAAGATAGTCCTATTTAAATGAGTCAGAAAAGACCAGGACAAAATCAGAATTTTCAGTCAAAATCATGACAGTTCAACTAGATCAGGAAAAACAACGACATTAAACTCGCTGCAAAGCCTTAAAATTGTCTATTTTTTTTTCTTTTCAAAGTATATTTCAAATATGAAGAAGTACTCGGTTACAAATCGAAAGTAATTCAGAGTTTACAGTGAACTCAATATTTATCACTAGGAAAATGACGCTTTGGTTGAGCGGTAACATTGCCCGACGCACATTTGCAGATTACTATGCTCGAACCTCGTCATCACAAGCCATAGAATGATTCTAGGTATCAGAGACGTACATTCGCGTGCGGAGGTGGCCGCGCGATAGTGATTTGATCATATTAACATATATAATTTATTGAAGTTGAAACTGGGAAAACCGAGTTAGTTTTAACGTTGTGCGGTAACACTTGTGTCCTTTTCGTGTTAAACCAAGAATGACAAACAATCTGACATGGATTTAGTACTCATTCTGAAAAAAATTATCATGTTTAAGATCCTCTTCTCAAAAAAGTTACTTTTTGTCACAATGACAGAAATTAGGAAAAATGCAGAAAAAGATAGCCAGTGATCTGATCTCTCATGAAAGACAAAAATTTTTACTCGACATCTCGTTTTTTCCAAAAACTTTTGAAGATTTTCGTTATTCCCGATTCAAAAAATAAGTTGTTTTTTGGAAAAATTGTAAATCGTTTTCATTTTTTCTAGTTTTGTAGATTTTCGATCGCATCTCCCAGAATTCTTGAAGGGGCTTCATTGTAGCCAATATTTTTTTTTGTTTGAAAGAGCGTGTGAAACTGTGTAGTGTCCATGAGAGCCCGTCCTCTGAATGAAACTTTGTTATTCTTATATTAAAAAGCACTTTTATAATTAGAGGATGGCTTTTTGAGAGATTTTCGAGTAATTGAGCTTGTCAGCTCTTTTCTCCGCTGGAAAGATAAGAGTTTATAAAAATGGCTCTCATAGGCGCTACGTTCTGACATGCTCTTTCAAACAAAAAAAAATTAAATACATAGACTGAAGGCTGCAGAGAATTTTTGTAGACGAAATGAGCTATTTTTTGACCTTTGTTTGGTGAATATCTCCCTCACAAGCCATAGTGAAGGGTTAAAAATTTTTACGATACTTTCCTCACAACAACCTCAACATATCCTGAAAATTCCATGCGATTTCTGTATACGTGACCTGAGAGCGATTTTTGAGGGGACCTTTAAATTTTACTACTAATGGTTGTGAATTGTCGGAAAGTATTAATTTTGTCATACACGTTTCAGGCTATATTTATATATATACAGGGTGATCCAAAAGTCTTAGTACTTGTTGGAAAATTTTCTTTTTCTCTCCTATTACAAATCCAAAAATATTCAAAGTTAGGCGGCTAGTTCCTTGTAACTAGATCAATATTATCCTAAATTTTCAGATCTCTAGTCCATATTAGAGGGAAGATATATCGGTTCATATGATAATGAAGATTTTTTCCATATGGAAAAAAAAGTCAAAAAAATTTATTGAAAAGAAATGTCTAGAATAATTGATTTTCACTATTAATACAATAGCAAACAACAGAATATTTTACATTTTCATAAATCATTACAATCTTTTTTGCGGATTAAATATGGCAACCTTATTAGTTCATTATCAAAATCTCTTGATGACCATTTTTGGTGCAAATCATGTAAAGTAAAAGTTTGTTGTCTAAATTTTTTATATTTTCGGGACATAAATATTTATTAAAAGTGATGGAATGCAAGAAAAATATCAAGGATAAAATACCGAAGAAAACAATCGCAAAATGAAAAATTGTTGAAAAAGATTTATCAAAAATGCATTATAGACAACGATCATATGTTAATATACATTCAATCAGAATGAAAGATATTCAAATATATAGACTATAGACATCTAATTAATCTTAAGATATAATTCTATTCGTTATAATCCTCTTAATACTTCTTTGTTTTGGTGTCTTTTTTTTTATTTTTTATTTTATTCTTTTTATGTAATCGCTTGCTATTTTGATTTTAAGACATGAAAAAAAAATCTTGCCTATCATACGAATCTATATATCTCCTCTATAATAAAGGACTAGAGATTTGAAAATTTAAGGTAATATTAGTCTAGTTACGAGGGACCAGACGTCCAACTTTGAGTATTTTTGGATTTGTAATAGGGAAGAAAACGAAAAATTTTTAAACAAGTATCAAAACTTTTTGAATCACCCTGTATATATATTTCTTTTGCTACTCTTTTCGTTACACACACTAAATCAATTGTTCATGTCGACTTTTATTATTTTTAGCATAGTTTATTATTCTATTCAAATAGAATTTTAGCACTCTCCGTTAGCACTGTCCTATATTTTGCACTTTGATTTCTACTTGATGGGACAATGTATTGTTAGATAAATTATACCAATAAAAATATTTTGAACTTGAATTTGCCTGAATTCAAGCATAGAAACAAATAACACGAAACCGATATCATAACCAGTTTTAGGGTGTTCCAAAAGTCACCTACCGAAAAGAAATTTGTATATTTTCACCGAATTTTAATTTAATGAACTATTTTATTCCTGATCATAGAGGATAGTTTCAAGTTTTTAATTATCAGGTAAAAGCTTAAGAACGTTGTCTAAAACTGTTATTATATATCTAAAAGAGAAAATATTATGTTTTTGGCTAAGCTGCATAATCGATTTGAGTTTCTTTCTCCCGGTTTGAATTTCTCATCTTTTTTATCTTCGCAAAAAATACCAAATAATTTATTTTCAAGCTTTGAGTTTTCGTTGATGTATTCGGCTTCTGCAACATACCGTAGAAATTTTCTCTATATCCTTATACAGAAATTTTGTAAAGAACATGTCCAGCTATTGAGGATTTTTGATAGAAGACTTTTATGAGTAGTCAACTATAAAAACGTAAAAAGTACCCAAAACATTTTTGACATATCCCATTTCATAGAATTTCTTTGGCTGATCATTTACATTACAAAATTTTCTATTTCCATTGACACATGATGGTATTGAGGTCACAATACTGAAACATCGAATTGTACTGTACCATTATTGTAATTTGACATTTTCTAGCATTTCAGCAGTAGCACTATCATTTTTTTTATGAGAATAGAAAACTTTATTTTATGAAATTGATCAGTGAAAAAACTACAAAATGACGTATGTCAAGCAGGTTTTGGATAAATTTCATGATTTTATGCTGACTATTAAAGAAAAAAGTACCCGAAAAAAAGGATGACTTTTGTATTGAAGTAGACCGTCATATATTTCAAATATGTCAATAAGCTGTTGATTTATAAAGACAAACTTGAAACATCGCTTTATTATCAGGAAAATATTCTAGTTCACTTATTCAAAACGCAGTTGAGATGTGGCAATTATTTTCTGACAGATGAGTTTTGGTATTCTCTGTACGTATGTTGAGTTAAATTTAGTGAATAAATGAACTTTCACGGTTTTATTCATGTTATACCATTGTTCATATGAAAATGTTCATTAATGAGACATTATGTATTCAGAAACATTCATGCGGTAAATTCCTGAAAAAAATCATCAAGAGGCTTCTCCAGTTAGTTAGGGGCGGTCATGCTCCTGATCTAACGAGACGCGGGGCATATATCTAGTGCACTACACTCTAAAATCGTAGAGAAGCAAGAACGTTTTGTTGGTAAAATTTGTGAAGATATTCTATCTCGAGTATTTTGCCAAGTCTTCATATCTTCATGTATTCATTATGTGTTGCTTTTAGACAATGGTAAACAATATCTAGCTGGTTGAATTTACTAATGAATTACGGCTGAATTTATCGTATGTGAAATGTTACAAAAGATTTGATGAGATTTCAAGAGATTTCATTGTAATAGCTAATGACCGCTATTTTGCGATTTTTTGTTTTTCTCTTATCATTGCGATTTCTTCATTTTAAAATTGATCTTGCTGTAGGTACTTTTTTTCTCTTCTCTTATATGAGTACTAAATAACAGTGAATTCGTAGTCTTATAGATATCATTGCAATGATGACGTAGCTCAATAAACATTATTATCAAAGGTAGCGATAGACCTACTGCTATACTTCGTCATATTGATGAAAATAGAGTTTATTATTTTCTTCTCGACTTGTTTATTCTGAAAATGATGAATAAGAATCAAATTATGGTGCATCTCTCTAATTTTCAAGATTTTCCTTAATGAATCATTTTCTGAAGAATAAACATGAAAATGATTATATTTAAAATTAAATTTCAGATTTTCTTTTTGTATTTGATTTAATTTGAATTGTTTCATAAATATAAATGGTCTGATTTGAGAGACCAGAAAAAAAACCATATACAAAGAAATAGAGACCAAATATACGATGCGCTATCTCAATTCCAACGACTAGTCAAGCAAATAAAAGATAAGTTCAAGAACAAGCGATGGAGCTGTACGTGATACATTGTCTGATGCTTTCATAACAATAGGAATCATATGATCATCAAGTTGACTTAAAAAGAATGGTGATAATTGTTCACCATTCGAACCGGCTAAATATGATGCCTAATAAATAAATAAAGAAAATATAAAATAAGAATCTATTTTTCTAAAATCTTATCTTTAGACTCACGTTTTCTCGATCAATTGTAACACGTAAACCTAATTTGCGATATTTAGCTTCAACAAGCATATCAATAAAAGGTATTAATGCTTGTGTAAAAGCTTTAGCAAGTGAATCAGCTAAACGTGTTGGATCAAATGATTCATTGTTATTTAAATGACATTGAATAAAAAATAAATCTGTCCATCGAAGACGAAATAATGAAGAACGTTGACCAGCATAATGAATTCGTGAATTACGAATTCCATCCATTGGAAAATGATCAATTGGTGAACGAACTCTATTATGAAAACAGTATTTATATATATATATATATCATTGAATTTAAAATAAAATTCATATCAATTTTTGCGTCTTAGAAAAAAGTAATTTTCATAAAAGGCACATATATGGAATTCAATTTATTTTTTATTCCTAAACAATAGACACTCTTTATTTCACTCGACACTATTATAAAGTACAACAAAAAATTCCCCGAACAAAAAAATTAATAATATAACAAGAAATGATTAATAAGTGTTGAAGCATATAATGAGAAAGTTGAACATCTACTCAGTACCATAGATCATGACAAAATTCCTCTTTCATAAGATAGAGACTAACAATGAGCAAAATCGGAAATAAAAACCTATTGAGATTAAGGGTACTCTTCCTCTTGTTGATCATTTCTGGTTCTTGAAGAGAGTATAACCGATCTGCATGAAATTTTTACTATAGATAGAGTGCCTAAAATAAGGAGACACCGTATTCAAGGAAAAAAATTTTAAACAAGGTTTTTGCAAGTTTTTCGAAAAATTCTGATTTTTCGTAGGATCACATCCAGTTTGTTTACGACTCCTTCTCTCTTATATTGTCCAAACAAGCTGAAATTTCGACTATAGACAATTGAAACTATTCTCCAAGGAGAAAAGGCTGTTTTCGTTTTTGACTCTTCTAACTAGATTCATAGAACCCTGAACACTAGTATTCCGGTTTTGGATCCGAATGTTTTGCGAATTTCTTTTATAAAAAACAAAAAAAGAAAGCGAGATTTTAGTAAAAGCTTAAAATCACTTCTAAGATACAGTTTAAGGTATCCCCAAAATAATTCTCAGTCTAATCAGACGAAGTTAGAGGGTGCTTGTAAGCATGCTCCGTGTGGTCCTATAGAAAACTAGAGTTTCCCGAAAAAAAAAACGGGAAAATTTTGTTTAAAATTTTTTTCCTCCAACACTTGTCTCTCTATTTTAGGTGTTCTATCTATGGAAACAATTTCATACAAATCCATTATACCTCCTTCGAGAACCAGAAATGGCCAAAAAAGAGGGGATACTCTTAAACCACAAGGATATAGTTAGACGTTTTATGATTTGAGAAAATTTTCTCTCTCGTACAGAATTTCATCAACCATCAAAACAGTGACACATTCCGACTACGATCTTCTCATCACTGAATATAGTAACTAGTAAATTATAAAACAATATGACTAAAATTTTGTTATTTAACAATACGATGAACTCTATTGTATTCTATTGAAAACATTCCTCTTACCCTCGATTAAAATCATTATCATCATCAATCCATAAAAATTCCACAAGTTGTTCACTAGAACTTTTTTTCATAACATTTCCATTTGTTGAATCTTTTTGTTCTTCAACTACAATTGATCGAGCTTTAGCTAATATAGCATAATCTTTTCTTTCTTTTAAACATTGTTTAAGTACTTTAAGCGCATCACCATCTATTTGTAACATAATTCCATCTTCAATTGTATTTACTTTTGCATTAAGATTATTATGTAATGAATAATTTCCAGTATTTTGTGTATCTAATGGTGAACTTGATGGACTATCACGAGAACGAAGACTTGCATTAATAACAAGAAAATTTCCACCAATCATTATTTGTTCATCATTAGAATCTAATGATGAAAATACACGTGTTTCATATTGTTGATCAGTACTATTTTGTATTGTAACAAGATGTTTTGAATGTACTTGACGATTTATATTCACTATACCAAAGCTTAATGCATGTGGACTACTTTGTTCAAGTGATTTTAATATATCATCATGACGATTACGTGGAATACGTATTGATACAGAACCTTGAATACCAATTGATATTGTTAAACCACGTATTGTAGATAATACATAAGTAAATGAACGAAAATCCTATTAAAATAAAATCAAATTATTTTTTTTTGAAAGTGGTCGGAATTTCGCCAATACGACATTCACCAATGCCAAAAGTCCGATGATATATTGGCGAACGTCCACTGTACTTATACCAATTGGCGAATTCTAAGCGATTGTGTTGGTGAAAAGTAGGGTGGACTTTCACGAGCTGTCACGAAACAATATTAATATATGATACATGTGAGGGTTGGAGCTAACATTGATAGAATATATATATTATAGCTTATGCTCATGAATGTAGTCGAAAGGAGTTTTTTCTTAAATTCATATCTAATTCACAGACGAACTGGCGAAGCTCTAGGGAATGTATTGGATAAAATACAGTGGATTTTCGGCAATTAATGAAAGTACAGAGAATATATTGGCGAAAGTCTTATTGGCGAAATTCCCAAACTCCTTTTTGTTTCTGAATATATTTACACAAAGTAAACTCATTATTGTATGTTGAGTATCAGTAAACATTGCATCTCGATTAAGAATACTAAATAATGGCCATGGATAACCTAAACAGAAAAGTTTTTTAATTATAAAAGAAGACAATCTATAGCTGTTTACTTTGATATTCATAGCCTAATCGAAGTAGAAGTCTCATTGGAAAACATTGAGCAGTTGGTAATTCCAATTGATGAATAAGAACACCAAAAATATATGGAGTTTCAGGAAATAAATTATATAATGATGTAGGATCAGATATATAAAGAAATCCAGTTGCAGTTGATGAACCAAGAAATGTTGATGAATTTGATAAAAGTGATAAACCCAAATGACGAACAAATGAACCTTAAATAAATTAACAATGACATTTTTTTATTTGAAATGTTTTTATACCTTTAGTTGCATCAATATATATTTGATGAATATGAAGAAGAAGATCAGAAATGATATCATTCGCATTATTAATATTCACATCAAATATAAAAATAAGTTCATCTTGTGCAACAGTACATAGACCACGAGTTGAAAAAATCCAACAATAACCACCATTACGATTTAAATAACAATCGACTAAATGTATGAGAAACAAATATTTAATGAAAGTAAATATAGATTTTATTTTCTTACAATTATCAACAATTTTACTGATGACAGTCAAATTATTATGAATACGAAATTCAATAGGTGGTTCATTTGGATCTGTTAAAAATAAATCATATTTTATTAGTACTACATGAACCACTAAAAAGAAAAGAAAAGAAAGCAATAAAACCTTTCAATTGTCGTATTCTTTCTTCAAGTTCTTGTGCTGTTAATGTTTCTAAAAATGTAATATTTTTGTATGATATAAATACAAATATTTTTTAAATCAAACCTGGTTTGAATAATGATACTTGATCTGTATCAGTTTCATTTGTTCGTACTTTAAATGATGACATGATATTAGTTGCTGCGACTGCAGCTGCATTAGAAGCAGCTGCTTCAACACCCGGTTTAATACCATCATCAAATGTTACTGATTTTTTATGTTCTAATCCTTGTCTACCAGTAGAAGTTGATACTGTTGCTGAAGATGAAGTTGATGATCCTAGAGTAAGAATGATTCATTCATAAGATAAATCAATATAAGTATAAAGAAGGACAAAGCAAAAAAAATTGTAATGAATTCACACAATTTTTTTTTATTCGTCTTTTTTTTTCTAGAGATTCTATTGAATAAAAAATAAAATATAAATTACCTCCTTAGGCTCATATATAAAAATGAAAAGTTTAAGTAGAAAAGAAAAGAGTATTACTACTTATTCTTTTTCTTTTTTTAGAGCATAATTCAGAAAGTAGTTTATACAAAAAGCTCAGATAGCATTTTCTCGACTTCTCTTATTAAAACAAACTTACAAATAATAAGAGAAAATGCAAGAGCAACTGTTGTAAATCTTATTTAAGTAACCTTCATCTACAGGACATCAGGAGAAGAGAAGAGAGAGGGAGAGAAAGAGAGTGGCTGGCATGGTAGCCGAACAGTGGGAGGCTTTATTGTTTTGCTTAAACTACACATGCTATCGTCATGCATAATTCTTTTCAGCTTCATAACTATTATTTTATTCTTATTGTCGACAACGACAATCACAAATTGAATTGAACATTTCTAATAATCGATGGGCAGTAATTATGACTATACATATGAATACGAAGTAACTGATTCAAATAAACACAATCGAACTTCTCGTCATAATACAGGACGTCAAAATCAAAGAACAACTGGAAATCAATCAAATTACGCTACATCCCATTCAACATTTGGTCGTTCAAGTAATATGGATCCTTTAACAAATTTACAAAATGATCGTATTTGGAATAAACTTTATGATCCATCTCAAATAGATAAAACAGCACACGAAAATGAAATACAGGTTTGTTGTATATAGACTCATATAAAAGTAGATTATTTTTATCGGATTACAGTAAAATTACTGTTTCTTGTAGATTTAAGTTGAAATAATTTGTTTTTTTTTTTGTGTTTCTAAAACATTTGAATACTCAGATTAGATGATAAAAATACTTTTTCTATTGTATTGTTTATTCTTACGATGTTAACATAAGTCTAAAATAAGGTCATCAATCATTTTAATATGTTATTTCATATTTCATGCTTTTTTTTCTTCTTTTTTTTTTAGAATTTCTTTTTTTAAACTGGAAATCCTAATGCATACGATTTGTCGTGACAACGAATAGAAACATAAATACACATTTTATGTCACTAAGTGAAAATAAGATGTTGAAAGAAAAAGAAAAACTATGGTAGTGAAGGTGAAGCCACATCACCACAGCTTTCTTTCTTTTTTATTGTATACCAAATAATCGTCAATTTTCTTTTTCTTTCACTTTACTCGTTTGTCGATATTAAAAAAAAAACAAGGGTCACTATAATATGATAAAAGCTGGAAAAATAAAAGAAGAATCATTTCGAAGCAAATTTCTGTTATGCCAATATTCTTTGATTGAAAGAAAGAAAGAAAAAGAAAAAGAAAAGCGACAAATTATGTAAACGAAAGAACCTTTTTTTTTCTTCTTTTCTGCTTTTTCACACTAGTCTCAGACGTGTTTGAAAAAAAGAGCGCAAAGAAATCGAATACTTGTAGGTATGTTGAAACAAAGGAAAATGAAAGTCAAACTTTTAGTAGTGATATCACTTATCAAATATTCATATACACATAAAACACTCACTAAGGCCGCACCATGCTTTTCAGTGAAGATAGACGAAGTTTCTCTGATCACGTAGGATATCCTATTAAAATTCTTTTTTTGTTTCATTATATTAATTTTTAATTTAAATTTTTAAAGAAAATGGCTCGCCGTCAAGATCGTAAAGTAATTAAAATAGAAGCAGCTTATGGTTCCGATCGACAAACATTTGTTGTTAAACGTAATTATGATTTACGTGTACGTGATGTTCAAGAAGATGCATCTAAAGTATTTAAAATGCCTCTTGATCAAATAATTCTTTACTGGAAGGTAAATCAAATCTTTATTATTTTATAAATAATTTAATAATATTTTCTTTTTTATTGTATTAACTTTATTTTAGGGACGAAATATTTGTGATACACCAAATGAACTTTTAGAAACATTAGGAATTGAAAATAATCATCAAATGCGTGTCTGTCGAGAAGATGATCAAGCACAACAAAATAGACGACGAGAACTACGTTCTTTTGCAACATCTGATCAGCAATATTCATCATCAAATGATATTTATCAACAACAACAATTGCAACAACAATTTTATCCTCAACAACAGCAACAACAATTTTATCCTCAACAACAGCAACAACCCAATTCGAATTATCCAACAATGTATGATCAACAACAACAACAGTTTGGCGGTAGTCCACGGTAAGATATTAAACTTCAAGGTTTTCTTTTTATTCCATTGGAAAAAGTGTATGCGAAGTATAATTTTTCTTGTCTAATAAAAAACTCGAATAGAAAAGATACTTTAAAGTAATATACATTTAAAAAAGAAAAAGAAAATGACAACAACATATTTCCTTTTACTAAGTTCAGTTTCTATTGTCAAAGTAGATGCGCTCATGAACATTATACCAATTGTAATTGTCGTTGTCATCATGGATCGTAAGTGTTCAGTCATTTTTTTTTCTATCAAATAAATTATACTGATGGATTTTTTTCCTTCCTTTACATCCTTTTTCTTTAGACATTTTTATTATCGTTCAGAATAAGACATATTTCTCTTATTTTCGTTATTATTATTATGTTTTTTTTTTCTTTCAAAAAATAAATCAATCTTAACCCTGAATTGACCTGCTATTTGCTTTCTACTAACCAGCCTTTATTTAGTGCTAACTACTATCAACAATTGACAAATCCAAATGCAGCACCTCCTGTTGCTCCTTCATTTGTTCTTAATTTACAAATTGGTATCGGTGATCGAATTGAAGGTCTTGCTATTGGTCGACCACATCCAATAACACTTTATGATTTACAAGTTGAATTACAACAACGTTTTAATATACCAATTCTTGATCAAAATGTTGCATATAATGGAATGCCTTTAACACAATATCCACCTGATGCTCCACTTGATTCACTTGGAGTTGTTAATAATTCATTTATTTCACTTTGGTATAAAGGTTCAGGATCTAATAATCAACAACAACAACAACAGCAGCAACCACCACCACCAAATGAGTATTATTCAGCAAGACAACAAGCACCACCATCATTTTATGGTGATGGATCGCAGTCAACAGGTGGTGGTGGTGGTGGTGGTGGTGGTGGTGGTGGTGGTGGTGGTGGAAATCAAAATGATACATCACCGAGGTAAGTAGAAAAATACTGTAATAGGCAGAGTATGAGTGAATGAACGTTAAAGATTAGTCGAAAATGTTATCTATTATCTTTTTTAATTTAAAAGACGTATGGATAATACTATCAACACCAATGATCCGACACAGAACGGTGCTAATCAAGAAGTGCTTAAAATTGAAGTATTTCATGGTATAAATTTTTATTCTCTAATTAAAAAAAAACATAGATTTTTATCAAATATATATGTCTTTTTTTTTTGTTGAAGGCTCCGATCGACATGTGCTTATTTTACGTAGTGCAAATAATCTACGTATAACGGATCTAATGGAAGAATTAGAACGTATAACAACTGTTCCTGTTCAACGTCAAAAACTCTTTTTTCGTGGACGAGAATTACAACAAATGAAAGATCGTACATTACGTGATGCTGGCATTGATAATAATGCTCAAGTTAGATTAATTGGTGATCCAACTAAAACACGATATGAACCAATGATTACAGCAAATCGAACAAATTAAATCCAATCATATGACATATGAACAATTCTAACTGAACAGATCATATTTTCTCTATTTCTATATCAACCTATTTGCTCTTGCTCTTGTTATCCGTCCATTTTTATACCCGAATAAAATAAGCTTTGTAAATAACAATGTGCAGAAAAAAAATATAAGAATAAAAGAAAAAAAAAAGAAATTTTATTTTTATTTACAGGTATTTTACTTTTGAAACAAAATCATTAGAATAAATTTAATCTAGCGCCATCATTTTTAAATAACTCATTATCTAACGTGATTTCTATTATTTTCATTATATAAAAAAACATGACTTCATTCAATAACAATAATTCTATTATTGATACGACATTGTCTCATTATATTAAATTACAAATTCAATATGGTTCTGATCTTTATGAAATGTTATTATCGAGTAAAGACAATAAAATTCGAGTTGAAAATCTATTAGATGAAATTGAAAAACTTACTAAAGTACCAAAATGTCATCAAACTATTATGTATAAAGGTCAACGTTTAGATCATAAACCACAAGCAAATCTTGATGATCTTTACATATTTAATAATAGTAAATTGATCTTAAGCGGAACACAAAAACAATTTCATGATAAATATTGTTGTCCTAATCATGATCATAATATGATCAACACTTCAGTACCAAAACTTAGTTCATCACAAAAACAAAATAATACAACTACTAATATAAAAGAAGAAAAATCAAATATAACGATAAAATCAAACAAAGATATAGATGATAACTCAATGACTAAGACACAAACACCATTGGTATTTCAAAAACAACAAGAAATAAATTCAAATCTAACTGGTTTTGTGCCCGAAGCAAATAAGAGTTATGAGTAAGAGATTTCAAACAAATAAAATACTATCGAGTATCCCAAAACTCTCTCCGAAAAATTAACGTAAATATCTCATATGCAAATCAAATGACTTAGTTTTATTAATGAGCAAATTTCAGTCATCGGTAGTTATGAAACGATAACTGTAAGTCAAGTTTAGCAGAAACATACTAAGTGAAGATTGCATTGCAGTTATATTTCAACACTTCTGTAAAACTGGTACAGTTGAAGATCGAGAATGTTCTGGGAGATCATCAAAAATTTTAGAAGACAAAGTCAACGAAGTTTATAACGTTTGTAAGAATGAACTACAATCAAATGTTCGAGTTGTCGCAGCAGCTTGCTTCATGCGACAAACAAATTTCATCTTGTACGGTTGCAATGAAAGGTATTCAGTCACTATGAAGTATACTGTTGTTCGTGATGTAGAGTAAGTCAATGCAACACCTCGAACACTTGATTGTGATTCATTCTTACAAACATGATGCACTTCGTCGAGGTTTTCTTCTGTAGTTTTTGTTGATCTGCTAGAATGTTCTTGATCTTCCGTTGCACCGCGCTTTTTTTATGGATTATAATACCTCGCTAGTTTTCCTTTTGTTTAACTATTTTTTGGTTGTGACGATAAGAGAAAATATAGATAGATATTGGACATTTTTCAGTGTTAGTAAAAAATAAATCATTATTTTTACAACAAGGTCACTTCCACCTAAAATACTCGAAAGAAAAACAGTTAGTATTTCTAGATTTTGATTACCAAAAATTGGTTTTTATTGAAAATAAGCATGATTTTCGAAATCGGCATGCAAAAAGACACTGGAAACTCTATCTTTCATTGAAAAAGACTTTCAATCAATTTTTATCAGTACGAGGGCACAGCCTAAAATTTTACGAATAGAAAGGTAAGGAGGAATAGTGCAAAAATTTTAACCAGAAATGTTTTACGATGAAATGTCGAGTTGTCGATGTATTTTTGCATGATGATTTCGAAAATCATGCTTTTTTTCTAATGAAAATCAATTTACGTGGGAGTACTCCTGTTCTAAAAGCAATCATTTTTTTTTTACTAACACTGGAAAGTTCAAAGTTTGAGTCAGACGTTTTGATATCATAACATCAGTCGCAATACAAAAAATAATAAAATAATACAATTTTCTTTAATCATGTTTAGTGAATTCTTAAATGTCATATAGATGTTCTCTCTTCAGAAATTCAGATCATAGTTAACAGTATCATCATTTTTTTTAATTATTTTGATAGACTGTATGAAACTACACTGATGATAAAATCTACACTTTTTAATAGTGAATCATTGTGAAATTATAAGACAAATAATATTTCTGCTGCACTAAAAACTAAGTGTGTAACTAAGTACTTCATAATACAATAGAAGGGTCAATATTCGTTGAAAGTGATTCTCTCCTTAAATTATTCATTTTGTTTTTTGCTATGACTAATAATGTCCAAGTTTTGTTGTAGTGAACTCATATCCTCAGGACACTCACAGTAACAAAAAAAAAATTAGTAGATTGGAAGGAGTATAAGGGTTACTTGTTTTAACCATTAATAAAACTATTTTTATTCTAATGTTGATAGGAATAGAAATTTATACAGGATAAAAATTTAAAGAACATAATAACATATTATAAACAAATCAATTAAGTCCCTTGAACTGTATAAGAGATCTATACATTAGCTTTTTCGATGAACTTTTGGGACATGATTGTATAATAATTGAAACATTGATTTCTTAAAGATATTACACAGTTCCATACAAAACTGATCCAACAACACTCTTACAAAATATTCCATCATCAACATCAAATGTACATTAATAATAACGATTATTTTAAACTCTTACCTGATTTTTTGCGTAGTACAGATGAACGAGGTTTTTGATTATTACGCATATAATTCCATAAATATTCAACTATAATATTAAATGAAAAAAATAAACAAATAATAATAAATCATAGAAAAGACAAAGAAATTTACCTTTAATAATCGTTTTAACACAATCATTACATGCTCGATCTTCTTTACTATCATCATGAACTAATTTAACTTTTTGCCAACAACATGTTGAACAAAAAACTTTTCCACATGCACGACAATGATGACGACGACGTGTTATTGAAAATTTAGCTGAACATTTCATACATATAGGTGCTTGATCATCACTAACCCATTCGGGTGCAACTGAACCGAGTATTTTCTCTTCTTCAGTTAATTTAGCCCATTCTTGTTCAACACGTATCAGTTCTTCATCGGCAGGTACTATTGAAGCTGCAGCTGCAGCTGCATCTCCTACTGGTTGTGGTGCATATGAAAAAGAAGATTCAGTTGGTGGTGATGGTGGTGGTTCTGAAGGAGGAAGAGGAGGAGGAGAAGGAGGAGGAGAAGAAGGAGGAGGAGATGGAGGTGGACAAGGTTCAATATCATTAATTATTGATGATGATGATGGCATTGTTTCTGTTTGATGTGCATTAACGATTTCTTTGAGTATATTATCAACTCGATCAATATCAGCTGGAGTTAATTGATGAATATCAATCTCTGGTCCATCAATACTTGCAAGCATTTCATCAAGAAAACGAAAATCTTCATCATTACTTGTAGTTAATGATGCTGGTGGTGGAGATATTTCTTGTTGTTCAACATTAACCAATCTAGATTCTTTTTCTTCAATTGGATTTTCATCAAGTATTTCTTCATCATTTTTATCAAAAATTTCTGATAGAATATTTTTAACAAGATCAAAATCTTGTGTAGGTACAGTAGATGTTTGTTTAGTTGTAAGAGAAGATGGTAATGAAGATTCTTCAGTATCAACTATAGGTTCATCAGATGAGGATTGAATAGATTTATCACTATCATTACATGCAGTGAAGAAAATTTCAGAAGATGATTGAAGTAGTGACGTCTCATTCATTGGTAGACTAGAAGTGATAAAATCCTAATGAGAAAAATATTGATTACGATAATTCAGATTAAAACAAAAGAAAAAAGATTCCTACATCAAGATTAGTTCCCATGGGTGCATTGACAATACTATCAACACTATGTAAGATTATTTGGGTTCTCATTGGAGGTGTTTCATGTTGAATAAGATCAGGTTCATTTTGATATGTTAAATTATTTGATATTTGTGTTGCTTCAATTACTGGTAAAGGTGATGAATTTTGTTTTTCTTCTTCCTCTTCTTCTTCTTCTTCTTCTTCTTCTTCTTCCTTCTCTTCTTTAGTTGAAGTTGATGATGTTGAAAATAAAGTCGTTTCTTTTTTATCATCATGATGACTATTTGTAGGAGTTGTTAAATCTGGTGATGATGGTTGTTCAAGAGTATGTTGTAAAATTTCTTGTCGTACTTCAAATTCAAGTTGTTCAACAGCTAATGGTAATGATGTTGATGAAGTTTCTTCTTGTTGAACAATAACATCAGGTAAAGTAGGTATAGATATTGATGGTGTTTCGATCACAACTGATGATGCATATAATTCTTGAAGATCTTGTTTAAGACGTTCAAGTTTATTTTCATTTTCTTGATTATTATCATTATTATTGTGTTTATCTGGATTTCCAAGAGGATCAAGTTCGAGTAAAAGTAAATCATCAACTGATTTCTTAGAAGTTGAAGGCGATGAAGATGCTTGAATAACTTGATTTAATTCTTTCTCTTCATGATTTGATTCCTTTTCTTCCTGATTTGATTGATTGACTGTAATAAAAAAACAAAAAAAAGATTTAATAAAAAATAAAACTAAAATAAAACTTACGCGTCTTTTCTAATTGATCAAGAACAGCATCAATATCAAAATCCATCTCAATGAAGAGATGAGAAAAATATTTCAAAAATAATCTTAAAAATTAAATCAGTAAGATTTATTTCAAATGCAAATTATAATTATTCAAAAACTTGTTTTTTCTTTATCATACTCATTATTAAAATCATGTAAATCTAATTTTCTATTTTTATTTTATTTTATTTTTTGATCAATCATATCGAATGAAATTTTTCATAATTGTATATGCATCGAAAACTTTTTAAATTACTTCGATGTCTTTATATCAATATATTCGTCTTTGTTTTTATTAATTTTTTTAAGTAAATAATAGGTTTATTGAGTATTTATTATGGAAAATTATAGGTTCGATTTAATTTCTTCTTGGTGAAAATTAAATAGAAGTAGTTTAATAGATATTAAATAATTGTTGAGTAGTGTTAAGTAGATTAGAATTAGTTTCAGTAAGAAAAAGTTGATTTACTAACCAAAGGAAGACATATGTTTTGTTCTCACAAAGATTTTCAAATTAAATTAATATTCATAATATTAATTTAAGTTCAAGATTTTTAAGAAAATAATCTACAAATACGAATTATAGAATTAAAATTAAAGAATTCTAAGAAAAAATTTACAGGTGAACAAGAGAAATATTCTATCTATCGACATTAAAAACAAAGAATATTGAATCATTCTATAAAGTAAACCAAAAACACGTGTACCAAAGTCCGCCACTATCAACGCGACCTTAAACACATTACATCAATAATGGCGGACTTTGGCTTACACTTTTTTGATTCATTTCATTAGATCCTATCGAATCAAATGAAATTTAATACCGTGCATTACATTAAACAAAAAAGAAGATAAGCAAATGCTAATGAAAAGTAAAAACAACAGCGTGAATGAATGAGTCACATTCCGTTGTATCAGCTGTGAACATTACGGCCTACTGAATGATTATAGAAGAGCTTAAATTTTTACTAACATTTTATTTTTAAGAACTTTTTACATCCAAGATTAAGGTTTTTTTCTGAAGTTAAACCTTAAATGGCGGTATTTGTTTTTTATTCTAATCGGTTAATGTTTCCAACCAATAGGACATTTGCATTAATAATACCTAAGGTATTTTTACATAATATTAAAACTAATAGCAATACAGTTATGCTTCCCCATATCTTCATTTTGAACTACAGTTATTTAAAAAAATTCGAATAACATATTGAACAAATTAATTATAGCTTATACTTTACGATGATTATGACGTCTGTATTATTCTTATTTAAATTGAATGTTTGAGCAAAATTGTTGCAAAAACCAATAGTTGAGAAATCAAAGAAAAAATTAAAATGAAATGGGGGCATGTCGTCGATATTGATTAAATTAGTTACACAAAATACACCTGGTGCAACATTATACATAACTGGAGATATATACTTGAGCTGAAGAAGAGATTTTTTTAAAATTCATAAATGTCAATCGACTTGAAATTTTCTGGAATTCAATTCAAACTTAAACTATCAATCCATAGTATATGTATTGATAAAATTTTAAAATTAATTTTTTGCATTTTTTTTGTTTTATTAAATCTATTTTAGAATTAATGAATTATGATGATTAAATACTTATTATTTAAATGTGATCTATATTTTATGAACATAATTCAACGTGGTGGTTGTAAGTTGTTTTTTAATTGGTTATTTTTTTTATCCAACCTATAAAGACTAAATGGTCAAATTTTTTTCTTCCATTGTATATATCTATGTCAATAAGGGCGTTAGTTTTTTTTTTCTACTTTGTTTCGCTTCTTTATCGATCGTATAAAACAGATAATAAGCACTGTTTATTAATCGTATCGTAGTTAGAAAGTTATCTACGTCGTCAGAATGTATGTTTTATTGACATTTTTTTTTTTTGAAAGAAAAAAAAGAAAGATAAATATAAGCCCTTTATCTAACGTAAGCGGATATGAAGATAAATATATAAATAAGCTAAATAAATGAGTTTCTATTTGAAGCGATCGTTTCTTCTAATTATTGAATACTCCGATTATTAGACATAGTTATTGTTTTTTTTATTATCAATTACGTAAACCTGTAATACATATATATTTATATTTTCTTGCGTAAATAGTAATTAATATTCTCTTTCTTCTATTGTATATATATAAGTTGATCTAGAAAATGTTTCGTCATCTGGCGGATATCATTCATTTGTAGTGCATGTTGCTCTATCAACATACAATTGTTTAGTTATCATTAGTTAACCTTCTCTATGTTCATTGATGTTATTTAGATTTTTTTTTAAAAATACTTATTGTTCCCATAGTTATATTTACTTATTGAACATAATTCAACAACGGTTGCTTGACACCCAATTTATATACTTATTTACAAAGTAACGAAATAACAGCAAGAATTCATATAAAAGCAACATACTTCTCTTTTGCATAAATTCGGCCATTGCTTCTTTTAATCATTCAATCTACCACAACTGTCCCTCTTCTCTCATTTGCTTCTCGTTCTTTCCTTCTTTGCCGTTCAATTTGATGTGTACATTTGTCCTTCACTAAAGCTCCCTCCTCCACTTGATTATTGCATTAGTTAACATTTTTGAAGACGGGATATAAGTGTGAAAGAAGCATAATACAATCATATACAGAAAAAAAAACCGAAGAAAAAAACAGTCTTATGTAATCCACTCTTATTTCACAAATTGTCTAATGTGCATATACGCCTGTTCAAAGCACATCTCATCGTTTCTTCTGCTCCATCGCACGGTTAAACTTGAACATTCATTATTCTTCACCATTATTCAATAGAGAAAAATATATATATATATATATTCATTTTTCAAAGGTTTCACACTTAGTATAAATCTATATAGTAAGTAAAATAGGGCGGTGTCTATACAGGAAATATCTATAGTATGTGGCGAGAAGTCAGTCAGCATGTGCTGATTTTTTAATGATATGTGTGAATGTACACCAAATACATTTATACATATAGACGAGTCATTTGCATAAATGTCAGAGACAAAAAGGAGAAGTTCTACTTTGATTTTTTTCTCTCTATCTCTCTAGAAGATTAATCGTTGATTAATAGAACGCGGCGAGCGCCATCGTCGATGAAATGGCATCATCGTTGCTACTACATTTATTCAATGGTAAGTCGACATTCTTTTTCTTTTGTTCTTTAAATAGATGTTGTAGACACTAATATAAGAATCTCTCAACTTGAGATTAATCGTTCGATTGTTGTATCAAATTCTCAAGAGAAAAGCCTAACGATAAACATTTTTAATTCCTATGCTGAATATTAATAAATAAAAAAGCACGTAGACATAAATATGTTATATCATACAAAGTATCTGTATTTCTTTTTTTTTTTTCGTTTATCTATTCATTTTGTGGAACTAGTAAGATGAATGTGCTGCTATTCATATATAATTATCTTATGTGAGGACAAAGAAATAGAACATCAAAAGAACATTTCTTTGATCTATTAAATAATGATATATTATCAGTCGAGTAAGCACATATATTTTCGAATTAATATTAAAGAAGTGTTAAATCAACTTTTACCTATTTTATCGTGGTTCATCGAGTTTCTTTTTTTCAAAGGAAATGTAAATAATTTTCTATTTTTAGTCTGTCTTTTAATAACTTTCATCAATTTGGTATTATCACAAACTGATCTATCAAATCATTCTACAAATGAAAGTCCTATTCTTCAATTATCTGTCTATCCAAATGCTGGTACTGCCACTGAAAAAATAGAAGTCCGTTGTGAAATATCTCAACCAACATCAGTATCACCATTATCATCATTGAAATTTGAAAATGTCTTTTTATCCGTTAAAACAGATCATGTAAAACCATCAGGTATTCTTCTTATGTTCGATGATACTACTGATGGATGTCGTACAAATCGAGAGAATATTCATGTTGATTTTTGTAATGCATCACTTATCTTAATTCATATTAGTCATACAATTGTTAATGAAACTCTTGAAAAAATAGATTATGCATGTGTAAAAGGATCAACTGAAGTAATAAGTTCATATCAAATAAGAAGTAAATAGGTTTTTTTTTGTTTAAAAAAATTTTAATTTTCTTTTCATGTAAATTTAGAAGATCAATATGCACGTTATTATGATCCAACATATAGTTCATCATCATCATCATCATCATCTTGTTTGTCATATACTTTTTTTCTTTTATTATTTGTTCTTTTCATAACACGAATAACAACAACAACAAAATTCAAATGCTCATGAAATATTTCATAGATACATGTGTGTGTGTGTCATTCTGTGATAAAGGTCATTTATTTCTTATTTTGTGCATTGAAATCTTCACATGATAACACATACAGATATTTTTGTTTTTTCTTTATGTTTATTTCTACTTTTATATATTATCATCTTAGAAAGTTACTGAATATTATTCATTCCAGAATCTCCTCTGTAAAACACAAAAAAATTTTGTTATTCGTGCATTTTTTTTTTTTGCAATTGATAGCTGAGAATGCAGATAATATGAACTATTAAGCATATATATGTTTCTTTTTTGTTTTTCTTCCGGTACTTATTGCTTTTTTCTCTTGTGCGCATATATGTGAATGACTGTTTTTTTTTTTTGGTTTATTTGAAATATATCATCTTTAGCAGATAGACAGAGAACATTTTTGTTCTTTTAGATGGCAATTAGTTATACGTCATTATCTCAACGTGAACATAATTCTCAAGCATATTTTCTTCATTCTGCAACACGTTCCAACCCTTGTTGTTTTGTTTGTGTCTATCCAGCTTATATAAATGGCAAAAAGAAAACTCGAGCACAAGGTCGACGTGTATGAAAAAACAAAAGCAATAGACAATCCAACAGTCAATGAAATATAAAAATATATTAGGAAATGTTGGTTTAAAAATAATTGTAGAAACGAATTGTTTATATTATCGAGAAGAGTCTCGTAAGCCGTAACATCATGGTCATGCACAATTGAAAAATACGAATGGATCATTAACAAAACGTGATACCAAAATTGAAAACACAGTGAAATTCAACAATAACAGCAAAATCAGCAAGACAAGAGGAAGAAATGATAACTATTAGAGAAATACATATATGTTTTTTTTTTGTTATTTTATTATTTAAAAAAAATAATAAATCTATCCATTTACTTTTATCTTTTGAATTAAATGAGAAAAATAAAAAGGCTAACATTTAAATTCTAGATCTGTGATATTTTTTCTATTCCATTTGTTTTTCCGCGCTTATTGCGCATTGGAAAAATTCGAACAACGATGTTAATCGACGAAAAAAATATTGATGAAATAATAAATACAATACGAAAACTTCACCAAACGACAATTGATCATAGACTAGTGGATTTAACTGAATATTTAACTGAATTTTTTCAATCTATTCAACCACAACAATCAAATTTATTTCGTATGTTAACATGTCTTGTACATGATTATCAAGATTGTGCAGCATTGAAAATTGAATTTCTTCAAGCACAATGTTTCGAAACACTTTGTAAAATATTAAATACTGATGAAGATAATATTATATCAATTTTAGAATTTATTATTGAACTTTTAAATAATTCTGAAAGTGTTCAAGAAAAATTTCTTCATTTTAATGGTTATCAAAAATTTTTTAATTCACTTCGTTATATACATTCACCAACAATGAATTTTATTAATCAATTAATTATTCTTATGATTAAAAAATCAACACTACATAATGAAGAATTACTAGCACAGACAATTGATTCATTTGTTAGTTTTATTAATCCACATATTGCTATATCACTTATACATTGGATACCATATTTAACAAATGTATCATATCAACAGCATATTATATCTTCAATAGATAAAATTGTATTACGTTCATTACAAAATAAAATGATGGCTTGTTCAAATGGAATTATTCTTGCTTTACTTGAGATATTAAATAATGATGATACAAATTCAAATAAATTAGAAGAAAAAATTTTAATCGATATTTTTTCTTTATTAGAAAATTTATCACAATTTTCAATAAATCCACAAGAAATTCGATATATATGTCAATTATTTTATCAAAATACATCATTTAAAAAACAATTATTACAATTGTTAATAAAAGCATCTAAAAATGATGATCTAGATGCACAACCAATTTCATCTTATTTCGATTTACAACAAGCAAATAGTGTAAGATGATGAATTTTTTTTATTTTTGTATTTGAAATTTTCGAGAAAATTTATTTATTTCAGGGAATTATTTTACCTGTTATCCGTCGATGGCCACCATTATCAACATCATCAACATCTCATCATTTTTCATTTCATTGTTGGTTAAAACTTAATCATGAAATTCAATCATATCCATATGAAGGACGTCGTCAAATCTATTCATTCTATTCTAATTCAATGGGTTTAGAATCATTTATACGTGATTCATCATTATTTATATCAATAACTGATCATCGTGAATTTGTTTATATTGAAATAAATGATTGTACCGATTTAATTGATGGTTATTGGCATTCGTTAACAATTGTTCATAAAGCACAACGACCATCTTTATTTGGTTCCGCATTTCAAACAACACAAACATGTCATTTAACTATTTATATTGATGGTTTATTAAGAAAAGAAATCAAAGATTTTAAATATGTATCAATTATAAATGATCCAATTATTTCAGCTTCAATTGGTTCACCAAGTCAACGACCAAAATTATCAATGTTAAAAATAAAAAATGAATCATTATCAACAACAATTGTAAAAAAAATTCAACCATTTAAAGGATTACTTTCATCAAAAACGAAAAGTTCAATAACTCGTAAAGAAAATCAAGGATTTTATTCACCAAATGTCATGATAATTGATCCAAATACTCAAGATACTTTATTTGGTCAATCAATTTGTTTATATGGACAACTAGCTTGTGTTTGGATCTTAGCTGAAACATTAGATGAAGTACATGTAAAATATTTACATGCAATGGGTAAAAACTTTTCGAGAATTATAGACTAAATTAGAATATAAAACATAATTTGAAATCGTTGAACAAAGAAAAAAATAATAGTCTTCATGAGTATTTAAAATTATAGATTTGACATTTTTCGAAGTTCATGAGTTCTTAGGAGTGTATTTTTTATTGAGGTCCATACGAACCCTGATTGAGAAAATAAATATAACACACGAGCTTGTTACTAGTTTATCCTACACATGTGAAGACATGAATACAAGAAGAACAATTGCGTATGATTGACTGATGCTATCAATGTATTGTACTCAGTATCTTTAACGCATACCTAAAACAACATGGTTTGATTAAATGTTTTGAACGCGTAATATAACAGTGAATCTCTGGTAACCCACAAGCGTTGACATGTAACGTAGAATGGGTCTATTCACATGAATAATTGTTGACATAGCGTCCACACGAATTCCACGTAATCATGTGGGAGTTATTAATATTGTCTTATAGTAATTTGTGATATGAAGAATAGTATCGTCAAAAGAATTTTTTCTGTTCTAGGTCAATTCAATGATGAGTATACTAAGCATAATATCAGGAACATTTCATGCCAGTTTCGAAATTTTAAAATCCATTTTTTTTGTCTATATCTTTGGCGTCAGAAAAACGAAATTTTTTGACTTTTCAGAAGCTATTAGAATTTCTTTCTCTAATTCAGTATTCGTTTAAAATGATTTTCATATAAAAATTTCTTTATTAAAGGTAGTGACTTTTGTCGTCAACGTCATTCGTCAATGCATCATGAGGATACTTCAAAATCTTCGATTATATTCGATCTTCTTTCTAATCATTCACTTCTTGCCTACCATCCATTAGCATGTAATGGTCATATATGTATTGATATATCAGGCAGTTCTTCTCAAATAAATAATGGTCGACTTATCAATGGTTTATGTTTACGTCTTCATCCATTTTCTCAATCACTTCTTAATTTAGGTGGTTGTGCAATACTTTATCCACTAATTGAATTATTTCAAGAAAATGATTATGATGATTTCGATAATATATTTGTATCAAATGAAAATAAAGATTCACAAGAACATTCATCTGATACTAATAAAGAGTTATATTCTAATCCAATTGCATCAATAATTTATCTAATTCGTTCAATTTTATCATCTACATCAACAAATATTTTAATTGAACAAATAACTACACATCATAATATTGAAATATTAGGAGAATATTTAAATCATCTCTCATCATATTTTATTGATAAACAATTATTAATTTCAATTGAACAATTAATTGAATCAAGTTATCTTATTGATTCATCATATTTATTAACAAGTCAATTAATTCAATATATTTTATTTAATTTTAATTTATGGAATAAATCTAAATATAATGTACGAATATTACATTTACAATATATATCAATTATTATTCAATATGATAAAAAATTTGATCAAGAAAAATTTTGTGTACAATTTTTTTTAGATATTATTAAACAACATTTTAAGTAATATGAAAATTTTTATTTACAAAGAAACTACTTGAAGTGATATTTCGCGTTTGAAATGAGATCCCAGTCATTACGTAAGACATCTTGAAACTAGAAGAATTCTTCTAATCGTAATAGGTTCTACGTAATGACTGAGATCTTATCTTAAACGTAAGGTATCACTTTGCGTGGTTTCTTCGTTAGTTTAATTCTTTATATTTATTTGTTTGAATTTATTTAGAGACGATACAGATGAACAACAACAATTACGTCATGCTATTTATGGAATAATTCAATATTTTATTGAAAATCATGTTAATAAACAAGATTTAAATGTACTTCTTTCTACTATATCAATATTATCAATATCAAATGATGTTATAACTCATGAATTACTTGATTTTATTCTTTTATTACTTGGTTCATCATCAATATTAACTGAAAAAATCATTGAATTTTTATGTGAACCAAATATGATTGAAGGATTATATTCTCTTTTAGTTTTGACTGATTTATCAAGTGAAACAAAAGAAATTGTTTTGAAAATAATGAAATATTTTATTGAATCAAAATACATATCACAACAAATACGATCTCAATTAAGATTAGAAACAGATCATATTGGATTTGGCGGTATTATTTCTAGAATGGCACGTAGTGAATTAAATCAATCGATTATTCAAGAAATTTTTGATATAATTATTACATCTAGTAAGTTACTATTGAAAAATATAAAGATTAAAATATTTTTTATTTAAGATTCATCAATTGCTATATATCATCTCAATATTG